GGACGAATGAATGACACGCCGGAAGCACTAGATGAAACCGAGTCACGACTCCACGCCATGTACTGCTCACGGTACTTGTTACGAAGACGATCGGCACGACGGTCGCGCTCACTGAAGAGCTTCTTTAACATAGCTCTCAGTTCCTTCAAGCGTTCCTTGTCGTGGCCAACCTTTTTAGCTTCTTCAGCGAGACCTCGTTCAATACCAGCTAACGGAAGCCAGTGGAGACGCTCCCACAACGCGAACCCGAGGTCACCTTGCTTACCGCCATCACCCCGAAGGTTCGCCCAGATCATCTTGAGACGGGTCTCAATCGGAGCACGCTTAGAGATGGGGACGCTTGGTTTGAAGTCGACAGTGTCAAAGAGGCAAGCTTGAAGAGGATAAAGCTGCCGAAGTTGCTGGTACGGGTGATCAGGATGCGAATAATCAAAGAACGCTTGGAGACCCTCCAACGTTGTACGCACGGTCACCTCACCAGCTGGTTCAGGAAGCGTTAAGCTCAAGAGTCGCTCGAAACACTTCTTGGCGCCTGCATCGGTAAACTTCATGTCCACATACGGAAGAACCCACGGTGGCAGGGTGGACGAAGCCGGCACCGTAGGGCGAGTACCAGATAACACTCGGTGAGGCAACGGCTCAACCGACGGTGCACCACCACGACGCGGCACCGAAGTATAGGTTGCCGTAATCATGCGTCCAGGTCCAGCATCGAGAGTCCAAATAGACGGACGAGGAGACACTGGAACAGGAAGAGAAGATGCTGGTGCCGGAGGACTTGCTGGTGGCGAAGGAGGCGGGCCGGCAACGATGATTGGGGAAGTCATCATCGGCGAAGGATTTGGCCGAGGTGGAGTCGGAGGACGAGCTGGGCCAAGATTACTCCAGTTCCTGTTTGAATCTTCAACATCTTCGTCATCGAGTATGCTTGAATGATCGGTGGGGGGCGGAACATCACCGCTACCACTGGGAGCATCAGGAGAGTCATCCACCGAAGGTTCATTGTCATCCACGTCATCTCCATGGTCGTCATCAGCATTCCCATCGTCATCAATCTCCATCGAAAGGCCAGGCGAAGACACGCTTGATACATCAGTCGTGGGAACAGTCGGAGCCGACTTCGAAGACGCGGAAGCTAGTGGAGCAGCCTCAACAGGGGTAGACCCTGCTGTAGAAACCACTCCCGAGACTTCAACTGCCTTGGATGTCGCGGCAGACGCCGAAGCAGACTTGCCTTGTGGGACAGTCTGGTCTGACTCTTCATCTTCGTCACTCGAGCCAAACATGAGCCGCATTTCCTCGGCCTCGCACAGAGCCTCTTCAGCAGCACGTATGTCGGCTGGAGAAGGTGAAATCGTTGAAGCTGGTGACTTGGCCACATCGTGTGGACCCTGAGGCGGGGGCGAAGGCGCGTCAGGAGAATCGGGAACATCGTCGTGATCCTCAGGGTTCACGTCCTTACCCGCAGACTCTGTAGCAGTTTCTTGAACCGAAGGGACGCTGCCTGGATCAGCAGTCCCCATGTTTACGTCACTCTGGTCGCCGCTGAGGTCGACCACTGCGGGAGTCGAGGAAGACGCTGGTGTAGGAGGTGGCGACCATGAACTTGGAGAAGACCGTACAGACTTGGACCGAGTCTTCATATGACGTCGTGGCGACTTAGCAGGAGAATGAGGACGGGATTTCTGGCGCTTCTTCTGGGCCGCCTTCTTCCACGCCTTCGGACCGAACAGCGATCTACGAGCCGACTTGGGAGTTGAAGTATCGGCAGGTGGCGCATCACCGAGACCGGCAGCTGCCATCGAAGCACTGGCCTTGTTCGTTGGGATTGGAGCCTTGTCTTCGTCAGAGTCGTCCGGATCGTCGTCTGAATCCTCGCCACCTGGTCTAAGACGCTTATGGGACCTCCCATGGGCCACTTGGTGAGCTGCTTTGGCCAAAGCTGCCGGAAAGGCTTGAGGATTGTCCGAAGACGCGGTGGCAGACTGAATACGCCGCAGAGCGACTAACGTCTCCTGATCCAAGTCCAGCGCATCCAGGTCCAGCTCACCCGCAGTCAGACCTATTACGAAGGATTGTGAACGAACGTTAGTTGCTGAACACACGGTGGAAGGAGCGACATTAAGAGCGTACCTTCGACAGCCAGACGAAGTACCTCGGGATCCATCCCTGCCAGACTCACGTGTGCACGGAGGGTACGATTCGCTTGGAGGAGGCGAGTGTTACGATCTTGCTGGTTCTCGAGGACCTTGAGCGTGTCGTTATCGACATACTTGCCCTGGGCAAGCTTTACCAGAAGGAGGTGGAGCTTCCGGGTCTGCTCAGTATTCGCGCCAATAGAAGACTTGTACACTTCGCGTTCGCGAGCCAGCTTCTTCTGCAACGTGCTGATAAAAACGTCCCGAGCTTGGACCTCGCAGTGCAGACGATTCAAGTCTTCTGCGTGTCGTTCCATAGTGGCTTGAACAGTGGCGAGCATGGCGTCGTTCTTGGCGTTCGACTCGTGGAGAATCTTGACGTGGTGGTGTAAGGCTTCAATCTCAGCGTTTGCAGCCTTGAGGAACGTCTCCGCGTTCTCACAAGCCATGATGTGGGGTGCCACCGAACGCACGGCGGCAGCAGCCTCGGACTGAGCAAACCGCAACTGACGCTCTAAGTCGGCAACGCGTTGGCGTAATGCCGACAGCGCGTCAGGAACAGATTGTATCGCAGCGAGGACCTCATCGAAACCAACAGCAGTCTCGAGACGACGCTGAGTGTGTATATCGCCGTGGAGAGGAGGCACAACGCTGATCTGCACTTGGTGACGAGCCATTGCAGTCAAGTACGGGATTATCGATGTCATCATGTGATCGACCGATGCCTCCGTACTTTCAGCCAGCATGGCGCGCAGCGAATCTTCGGTGAGTGGTGGTGGACCACCAGCTGGGGCAGGAGGAGGAGCAGGAGCCATCTCCGCGGATTCAGCGACGACGGGGAGTGCTGCAGGAGCTACCGCAGGGAGTGAAGAGTCTGGGGCAGGAAGCGCCGAAGGACCAGTTGATGACGCCGCTGTCGGAGGAAGTGTAGCAGACTGAGGGACGTTCGAACCCTCGGCCTTGCCCTCCTGAGAAACAAGTCGAGTAATGCGAGATGATGAGCAAGGTGCCGATGATTCAAGAGAAGGATGAGCTGACGTACCTCCAGCTGTTCACGTTCGCGACGTCTACGAGGATTAAGACGCTGAAAAGCGTCGGACACGGCTCGATTCAGACGCTTGGACATACGGTGGCGAGATGGTGAATTGAAGAATGAAGAAATGTCACAACGGGCACCAGTACCGTGGCTTCCATTGCGACAGGGGCAGTTGTGGTGTAGTGATTTCTCCGTGGTTGCGGATTATCACCCGTCGACAAAGACGTGACACCGCCCAAGTTGTTCAAGCGACGAACCCTCGGTCGGGTGATGTACGGAGACGCCAAGGTGCAAGGGACTCGACGGCGTCACCTCCGAGTTTTCAACAAGTATCAGATACGGCCCTATGTCACTGAATCCAGGCTGTCCTTATTATTAATAATGGACTGGCCGGATTCGCATTCAGCGGACCATCTACGGTACGAACCCTCAGTGGCGGTTGGGATGAGTTCGCGGAATACTCAGCGACCTTTAGAAGACACGTTCACCGTCTGGGACAGGGCGCGGACCGTTAAAGATGCTCATGCGACGGTGCAGACGACGCTTGGCATGCAAAAAGATCCATAACGGATCATTGTTCACTTGATATTTGTATACTTGATTAGGACTTCTTATTAGGAATAGACCCGAAAGGGTAAGCTTAAATACAGAACAGAATTTCCACTCAAGCACACAGAGCGACGTCCGGCTTCAAGGTAAGCGTCAGGTCAAGCTTGTTTGAGTGTGTTATGCCTGTCGGTGAACTCGAAGCTCTGTAGCGAGGGTTCATCCGGCAAGGCCAAGAGACTTTGTGTATTGGCCGATTATTATCGGGAGGTTTTACGTGACGGCTTATTGTTGCCTATTTGCACGACTGGGAGTGCTTGAATTGCCTCCCTTTTATTTCTTCCAGCCGAGTGTTGAACACTCGGTGATCTCGTAAAAGGCTTACCCGTGCCTGGTACCCTTCCGCTGTTGGGACCACGAGGATTCAAAACACCTGCTAGCTTTGCTCGTGCTAGTAGCGTGTTCTTATTTTACTGGTTGGCCTATATAAGTAGTTTACAAGGTCCAGTTTGTCCCGGTGCAAGGGCAGAACTGGGGTCTTCAGGTCCGCCCGAACGATCGTTTACTATCCTAGTAGACGTATTGTTGTGGGAACATCCTAACTACATCTGTAGCTAGAGTTCACGTGGGATTTCCAACACCACACGACGGCTCAAAACGAGAGCCTTTCCTTGTTTTCAAGACTCGACCATCGACCAGGCCCGCTGTCGCAAGGGAGAACAAAGTGATGCGCCACGGTTTTAGGCGCAGACTTTGGGCTAAGACGACTTTTCGGGGCACTGGTGGAAAGATGTATTAAATTTTGCTGGTCTTCTCAATGTCGTGCTAATGAAGGTGCCTCCTGTATACACTTACTCGTGCCAGCCGGTAGATGTAGCATGGAACAAGCCACTCAAAGATTTCATAAGGAAGAAGTGGGTGGATTTTCTATTTGTTCAAGTTCAGGCGGCATCCGCTGGAGGCACTACTTTCGAGATGTCATCACCAACACGGTCGAACGTGGTTCGCTGGATCATATGCGCGTGGGTATCTCTCGCCCATACTACAATCACTGGCGGTTCCAAGAAGACCAAGCTAGCGATCACCACAATGATGATGCCACCACAGCCGACACCGCACGCACCACCAGAATCAGTCTTAGGCCCACGCGTCAGGCTACTACTGCTGAGCAATGTCGCTGCTGATCCAGCGAAGGACATCGACTATAACGAACTCGACGGCACCGAGGGCGACCGCTTGGATCAAAGCAACGTTTCTTAGTTTTGGACACGCGATCAAGAGACTACCGGGAGGAATCGAACCTCCATCCTCCCACAAGGGGAACTTATCCGTTAAGCCACGGTAGTAGGTCTTCACAGGGTCTGCGCCGACTAACAGCAGCACCGCTAAACTACAATAAACGTTGTAGATATCGAAAAAGGGCTCGTAGCGTACCATCTCGTGTTAAACGTGGAATTAACCATTGTTATGGCGGCAACCCTCTTAGGACACCCAGTCCCCCCTCAATTCGCTTCTTGGTCAATCCAACACTGAATGGCTTGACGAGAAGGCGACCAAAAATATCGGCCTGCCTATGCATCTCTATAGACCTATTTAGTGGGCAGACTGTTTACTGGATATTTGCCGGATGGAAATGAAAATTTGCAAGATTGGAATGCACATGTATTTTTCTTTTGAACCCGCCTGATGGGTGAACTGTCGTGTACATTGACTGTGCTCTTTGAAATACCCCTGCGGTATTGTAAAAGGTCGCGCCTAAGAAGTAAATAAGTAGATAAAGCGTCAAGGGCAAAAGGGTTAGGGGCTAATCCTTTAGTTACTATATAACTTCTAAGGGGTCTGAATGGACCTTCACCTTACCGCAATACCGCAAGAAATTGGCCAATGACAACGACTGCCAAAGCCTTTTAAAATTTTCTACCTTTCAAATCTGCATCCCATCGTGTTCATAATCGAATTAGCAACATGGAAGACGACTGTGTCTGTGAGTGGTGCGGGCCAAGCGAGTGCGACTGGGAGCGTTATGGAGGTGAGCTGCAAGAGATCGCGGCTCGTTTGTTGAGCACCCTTCTACGGAAAAGGCGGCGTAGCCAGGCCGTGCGTGCCATGTTACGTTGCAAGTATACTGTATATACAGTACTGCACCCCGTTTTCGCGGGGGTGGACCATATAGGATTTGCAAATAAACTAGATTTTAGCTAACAAATTAAAGCTCATTTGGATTCAGGATCATCACATCCGGAAGTTTATCAAAGGTCCAAGGGCGCGAAAACGGGGTGCAGTACTGTACATAAAACGGGTGATATGATTGGAAACGTTCCCGAATGTGTAAAAAGAAAATTTGTCCTGTATTGGCCTGATAACAATAAGGTGGGGTCGAGCTGATGCTGTATTATCAAGCTTCCGGTAGGGTTAGATCAGCTATTCTAGTTATGGATCTATTGACACGCTTCCGTGTAAATGCTACAGGCTCACCTGCCGTCGACCGACAGACCGCATCTAAAGCATCGCGGAGTGCTGGTGTTCGCACTTTGAAGACGTCTTGGTAATGAAATGCACTAGAACGCTCAACACGGGAGCCCTGTTCGCACTCAGTTCATCCGTACTTAGCCTTCTTGCTTATTCCACGCAAACAGCAAAAGTAGCACGTTAGCTTTCCGTTGCTGTACTTGGTAGAATTGAATGTAATAATATAAAACGAAGCGTCGGCTCCAACTACTTCATCAAGTGCTTTACGTTGACGCTTCTTTTCACATCACAAGCGCTGCCGTCTTATGTTCTTCTCATTGCTTGTCAAAGTATCGGCAATACGTCGTTTGAATTTTCGTAGTGAAGGAATAGATGATGATGTTGTTTTCAGCAATGCGAACGCGTTGATAATAGCCAGGTCGATAAGCCACGTAAATCGTGTCATGTCTAAGCGTTTCTCGCGGCGTCGTGATGGGTTTGTTGATCGCATTTGATCAACGCGATCTTCAGCGTTCCTTAAACCTTTATAAACGGCAATTACGGTACGTATCTGTAGTGGTGGATAGTTCAATGGCAAGCCTTCACCCACTCACACAGGGCAAAGCACAGGAAGGCGATACCGAGCTGGCTAGTTAGGGGTTAGGACAACACAGCCAAGGCATAGGGCGTGCTTGGCAGTGAATGGACATTAGGGATTCTACTCTAGAAGACTCACAATAGATTTTTGGGTTTACCAGGAAGCGCCAGCTTCCCTAGCAGTAGTCTTATCGCTAAGACCTACTACAAAGAATTCTTTAGTTGCAAGGTTTTGCGACTAGAACTGAACAAGAACAAGATGGTTTTCAACGAGGAGAATCAAACTACTGGAGGGCACAGCAGTGGTGAGACGCAGATTTCTTCAGAGAGGACGAAGACAATCGACCTGCTGAATGTTCCCCGGGCCCCACAGCCCATTTTTGCTGTTATTGTCGCACCTCTGGTGACTTCCACATCTCGTGAAGCCTTGTTGGAGTGGTTGAAACTCCGCAAGGACTACGAGGAAGCGACTAAAGAGCGGTGCAAAGATGGAAAGGAGGACTTCAACGCTGTGTTGAAGAGTGTGCGGAGCTCGTTTGACTCGGATTTGCTGACCACACTTTGTGAAGCAAGTTGGGGCATCGAGAAGAGCGACTTGACTGATAACTTTCTTTTAGAGAAGATCCACGAGATTACGGACAACTACCAGAACCAAGCATTACCGCCTGTGAATGAATTGTTTCTCGATGAGTTGATCATGAACATGAGCAACCCAGACATTCAGTCACGGGTAACGGATTATTTTCTCTCGTGCAACCGACTTATTAGAAAATATGGTTTTACCAGTTTCTTCGAAGGGGCGAAAGGAGCTAAAAAAAAGTGCAAATTGCTGGTTAACTTGCTTCCAGGGTCTCTTAAGGAGAAGGTCAAGAACGAGATTGATAATCGAACGCCCGAAGCGCAGAGTAATGTGCTGAAGCTTTCTAACCTCATCAACCAGCAAGCGCTCGAACAGGCGATCGAGTATCGGGCTCTCAAAGGAGGCAGAGACTCGACTCGCAAGTCGACAGCGCGTGAGCAGCAGCGAGGGTCCCAAAATAACAAAAAGCGCCAGAATGAGTGGAAACCACAGCAACATAAGGAGAAGAAGGTGAAGAAAGCCGATACTCGTAAAGTCGAGAGACAGTTCGAGACAAAGGAGCAGTCTAGGACCAAAGGAATACTGAAGGACGGATGCTTCAACTGTGGTGGTCCCCATTACCTTAGCGCTTGCCCATCGGCTACGAAGGAAGACCGCGACCAGCATACCTCCAAACAAGGCCAAAAGAGTGAGCGACCTCCTGCGGGGAGGCACCGCTAACCTCCGACGCCTAGCTGAATGCCTGCCAGTACAAGCGCGCTCACTTGTGCTGAAAGACACCTTCTCGGTGGCATTTTGCGCCGATAGTGGTGCTGACAGGTCTAGAATCAGTATGAATATTTCGAAGAATTTATGAAGGTTTGTCCGGAAGCGGAACTAGTGCAGTTGAAAGAACCGCTTGACTGTATAGGAGCTGATGGAAAACCAATTGAAGTGACTAAGACTGTGAGCCTACATTTGAGACTACGGACTGCTGCCGGCAGTGTTCGTATCGCTAAACCGGTTGAGTGCCTCATCATCCCTGGTGATGCAAGCGAATTTTTGTTGGGGAATGACGTGTTGACGATGTTGGGGATTGACGTGCATCGAGAGCTTGACTTACTCGATGCCAATACTGTTCGGAGAGGGCAGGATGATGAATTTGATGAGGTCGATGAGCCAAAAATTGGTAGCGGCGGGGAAATAAGTGAAGATGTAGTAACTGCCGTCGAGGGTCTAGTAACAGAAGCTGTGAAGAAAGGATTTCCATTAGAACACACATCGGAACTCCGGCGAATAGCGAGCCGCTTTGACATCTGGAGATCGACACTTGGAAATGGCCCACCGGCTTGTGTGGCGCCAATGAAGATTCGCCTTAGGGAAGGAACCAAACCGTATCGCTGTAAAGCGCGACGATACCCACCTGAGGTGAGGAAATTTCTTGACGATTTCAACGACGAGTTAGTGCGGTTAGGCTGGGTATATGAAAATACTGAGAGCCGATGGGCGTGTCCTGTCTTACCGGCTCGTAGGAGCGGTGGAGAGTATCGCCAAACAGCGGACTACAAACCTGTCAACGCCGACATCGAAGCGATCGTCGGTGTGATGCCGGATCTGAATGTGGACTTGGAGGATGTAAAAGGTGCTAAGTTTTTCGGTTTATCCGATTTCATTAACCCCCCCCCGTCACGAGAGCAAATCGTAAGTGCACCCCCCTAACCTCATGCTTGATATCAAGCATGTTAACGACTAGTGATAACAAGGAGTTTGTATGTGGTAAAAAATGAACCATATCCGCCTCTCAGTACAAAGTCACCCTTTATCACTGTCCATGTGACCACACGCTTCCTATCGAGCTTGTTCTGACGTGGTATATAGCTGCATGTTAGATATAGAGCAAAACGATTTGGCCTTTTTACAAGGAGAGTCTTTCTTTATCTAAATCGAGTGCAAAGAATACTGCGAACGTCTTGTACTGAAGTGCAAAAGTAATGCAAAACAAACACTAGCAGCTGATTGCACATCATGTGCCTACTCAGCGTTGGTGCCACCCTCGCTACTGCCTTCATCATCGCCAGCGATCTCACCTTCACTCGCAGCGCCACCTTCAGTCGAAGCCTCACCAGCGTTGCCTACCTTCTTCCCCGATGGCCTCATTTGAATGCCGCGACCGCAGCGAGGCTTAGGGCGGTCGCGACCATTCCTCCAGAGGTCGTGCCAGATCGCGTAGCATGTCCACGTGTTGCCCGGGTAATGACCCTGGCGCACTTTATCGCACAAGTACAATCTGCAATAGCTATTAGTAAGTGATGAAGAATCAATGCATTTGTAGGCTTACCTCTTGTTCCCCTTACTGCACCCTGGACAAAAGAACCGCGTGACCTGGCGCTTGCTGCTCACTGTCTTGCGAATTGTACACACCTTACACTGTCGTTGGCGGCGCTTCCGAATACCGTTCACCTCCACCCACTCCTCGTCCATGGCCAAGCTGTGGCCTTCGGAGCTTGTGGCGTCACCTCGACTTGGCGTCACTGGCCCCGGTGAGTTCATCTACAATAGACCAAACAGCAGGAAATTAGAATAAACAAGAAATAAATGCTCTGCCAGCCGTACCGTGTTCACAAATTCCGTTGGGCCCATGTCCAGTAACTGCGCGTGGAGCTGGGAAATCAAGCCTGCGTGGTCAGCGGCGGGTTCACCTCTCATTTTCCTTGCTTCGCGAAATACGATAAAGCTATTCAC